TTATTTTATTTTATTTTATTTTATTTTATTTTATTTTATTTTATTTTATTTTATTTTATTATTTTATTTTATTTTATTTTATTTTATTATTTTTTCCAAGTTGCTACAAATGCAAAACTGAATTGATAGTTGTGTTTATTTATTTTTGGTTGTTTTTTTTCCTTCCCAAATACTCACAGGGGCTGCTGGCTCTGGGTGTCCCTGTGGTGCATGGTTGGGGGCCTCCATGCCGTGTTCGTGACCAGGAACTCCAGGCCCAACATTGTCCTGTTGATGGCCGATGACCTTGGGCTGGGAGATTTATGCTGCTATGGTAACAACACAGTCAGGTAAAGACCCCCCACCCCCCACCCCCCCAACCCTGGCTGGTGGCATCTCCTGGGGGGGAGGGAAGGGCTCCCCAATCCCATCTCTGTCAGTTCTCAACACGAACAGCAGAGGGCGCGCTAGGCAAGCGGCAAAAGATCAGGACCTCATTTCGTATCTCTGTCTTCTTACCTACAGGGGGCGCTGCTGTTGTTTTTATTATTGTGTTTTAAAAAAAACCCCAAAACACCCCCAAAACACATAATACAAACATCTTTTTAACCCTTTGAAAGCAGGCCGTTCAGAGGCATTTAGTAAATTCGCAGCGGTCCACCCAGTGTCGATTCATTGGTAATCCCAGCTCATCCCTCCCCCAGGCCCTGACAACCACTATCCTGCTCTGTGTCTCCCTGGAGTCCCTGGTGCTGGAAATTTTATATAAATAGAATATATAAGGTATCTCTTTGCTGCGGCTGCCCTAAGGAGCCCAGACAGGGCAGCTTCGACGGGACATTTATTTTCTTCCAGTTCTGGAAGCTGGGAGGCCGAGATCATGGTGTGGACACAACTGTTTCCTCCTGAGGCCTCTCTCCTTGGAGAGCAGACGGCTGTGTGGCCCCTGAGTCCTCACACGGTTGTCCCTCGGTGTCCTTATTTCTTCTTCTGATTGGACCAGGACTCACCCTAATGACCTCGTTTTACCTTCATCACCTTTCTAAAGACCCATCTCCAAATGCGGCCCCATTCTGAGGTCATGGGGTTAGGGCCCAGGCGTATAAATACTGGGGGACGCAATTCAGCCCACAACATATAATATGCACTTTTCTGACACAGGCTACAATGCCGATGGACCTTGAACACAGCACCCGTCCCCATTGTAGCCTGTGTGAGAGCTTCATTCTTTTTCATGGCTGCATAATATTCCCCCGTGTGGATGGACCACGGGGGATGGACCACATCCACACATATCTTTTTTTTTTTTTTTTTTTTAATATTTTTATTGTCTTTACAGAGAGAGAGAGAGAAACATCCATCAGCTGCCTCCTGCAACCCAGGCATGTGCCCTGACCAGGATTCGAACTGGCAACCTCTTGGTGCATGGACCGATGCTCAACCCACTGAGCCACACCAGCCAGGGCTAGTTTCAAGTTTTTCAACATTGTGCTCGAGTTCTTTCTAAAGCCTTTGGTTCCCAGTTCCCTCCTTTATTTAAATTTTTTTATTATTATTATTTTTTAATATATCTTTATTGATTTCAGAGAAAGGAAAGGAGAGGGAGAGAGAGAGAAACATCAATGATGAGAGAGTCATAGATCGAACCCGCAACCCGGGCATGTGCCCTGACCGGGAATCGAACCCCGATTGCCTGGATCCCAGGTTGACTCTCAACCGCTGAGCCACGCCCGGCCGGGCATATTTACTCATTTTAAAACCATAGAGAAATATGGTATAATTCACCGCACACACATAGACAATATGCTTCCTTTTATTCAATAATTCACTTAATAAATATTTGTTTAAGAGATAAAAAAAAAAACAACAATAAAAAACGGGTCAAGAATGAGCCCTGCTGGTGGTTGAGCATCGACCCAGGAACCACTCCTGGTCAGGGCACGTGTCCAGGGTCGGGGCTCGATCCCACCAGGAGTCGTGCAGGAGGCAGCTGATCAATCACTCTCATATTGATGTTTCTATCTCTCTCCCTCTCCCTTCCCCTCTCTCTAAAAATCAATAAAAACATATATTAAAAAAAAAAAGAAAATAATCTGTTTCACACACACATGTAGAATTATCTCATTTTAAGATGCTGAGAAAAAGCACCGGTGTTGTTTAAGTATTTAAAACACTTTTTTTTTTGGCAGCAATTTCGAGAACTTTTTTTTTTTTTTCCAGTAATTTAGAGAATTTAATACATTAGACAAAATAAAATGGGAAGTAAATTGAGTTTAAAAACACAGCATTTGGTTATTTAAAAAAGCTAAGTTTCGCTACAGCTCAGCGAATAATCCCACAGGCTTCTAATAATTAAGATTAGTAATCTTAAGTATGACAGTTGACTCATCTTAGTTTGTAATCATCTTGCCTGAAGGTTCATTGTTTTATACTCTGCTTATTTTTTGCATTTAATCACAGGTGCATCCAAGTAGGTAGAAAATGGAAATTAAAAAAAAAAAGCGTTTTAGGTTGACTGGAAACAGAGTCAACCCAAGACACAAAGGCTTTGGATCTCCTCCGGTTGGTGGGAATGGGAAACCTCAGTGCTGATTGTCTGTCTGTCTGCAGCACCCCGAATATCGACCGTCTGGCCAGGGAGGGAGTTCTGCTCACCCAGCACCTGGCAGCAGCCTCTGTGTGCANCCCTAACCCTAACCCTAACCCTAACCCTAACCCTAACCCTAACCCTAACCCTAACCCTAACCTAACCCTAACTCTAACCTAACCCTAACCCAACCCNTTTTTTTTTTTTTCCAGTAATTTAGAGAATTTAATACATTAGACAAAATAAAATGGGAAGTAAATTGAGTTTAAAAACACAGCATTTGGTTATTTAAAAAAGCTAAGTTTCGCTACAGCTCAGCGAATAATCCCACAGGCTTCTAATAATTAAGATTAGTAATCTTAATTATGACAGTTGACTCATCTTAGTTTGTAATCATCTTGCCTGAAGGTTCATTGTTTTATACTCTGCTTATTTTTTGCATTTAATCACAGGTGCATCCAAGTAGGTAGAAAATGGAAATTTAAAAAAAAAAGCGTTTTAGGTTGACTGGAAACAGAGTCAACCCAAGACACAAAGGCTTTGGATCTCCTCCGGTTGGTGGGAATGGGAAACCTCAGTGCTGATTGTCTGTCTGTCTGCAGCACCCCGAATATCGACCGTCTGGCCAGGGAGGGAGTTCTGCTCACCCAGCACCTGGCAGCAGCCTCTGTGTGCACCCCGAGTCGGGCAGCGTTTCTGACAGGCCGCTACGCCATCCGATCAGGTGAACTGGGCAAATCCCACAGGCTTCTCATCTCAAACTCTGCTGATTTATTATGCACCGTAAATCTAACCCTAACCTAACCTTAACCCTAACCCTAAATCTAACCCTAACCCTAAATCTAACCATAACCCTAACCTAACACTAACCCTAACCTAACCCTAACCCTAACCCTAACCCTAACCCTAACCTAACCTTAACACTAACCTAACCGTAACCCTAAGNAACCCTAACCTTAACCGTAGCCCTAACCCTAACCCTAACCCTAACCCTAAAACTCTAATCCTGGCCCTAACCCTAACCCTAGCCCTAATGCTAACACTAACCCTAATCCTAGCCCTAGCCCTAGCCCTAGCCCTAACNTAAATCTAACCCTAACCTAACCTTAACCCTAACCCTAAATCTAACCCTAACCCTAAATCTAACCATAACCCTAACCTAACCCTAACCCTAACCTAACCCTAACCCTAACCCTAACCCTAACCCTAACCTAACCTTAACACTAACCTAACCCTAAATCTAACCCTAACCTAACCTTAACCCTAACCCTAAATCTAACCCTAACCCTAAATCTAACCCTAACCTAACCTTAACCCTAACCCTAAATCTAACCCTAACCCTAAATCTAACCCTAACCCAACCTTAACCCTAACCCTAAATCTAACCCTAACCCTAAATCTAACCCTAACCCTAACCTAACCCTAACCCTAACCTAACCCTAACCCTAACCCTAACCCTAACCCTAACCTAACCTTAACACTAACCTAACCCTAAATCTAACCCTAACCTAACCTTAACCCTAACCCTAAATCTAACCCTAACCCTAAATCTAACCCTAACCTAACCTTAACCCTAACCCTAAATCTAACCCTAACCCTAAATCTAACCCTAACCCTAACCTAACCCTAACCCTAACCCTAACCCTAACCCAAGTTCAAGAGCACGTGTGCATTTGGGAGAAGGAGCGCGGAGGAAGCTTATAGTCAAAGGCAAGAGAAACACTTGGGAGAGAAGAGACTGGAAGGGGCACAGGGGGTGCATCCCAGGACCTCAGGTAGACGCAGGGATCCGTGGGGCCCCCGCCGGGAAGGCGGGTCTGGGCGGTCACCTGGGCTCTGCTCCTGTGCCGTAGGCATGGCCTCTGCCTTCAACCTGAACCGCGCCCTCGCCTGGCTGGGAGGCTCGGGCGGTCTTCCCACCAACGAAACCACCTTCGCCAGGCTGCTTCAGCATCAGGGCTACCGCACGGGGCTCGTAGGTATGGCCGGCGGGGGAGCTGCGGACGTGGGAACCCCCTCTTTTTCTGGGTCACCTCTCCAGGGGGTACCTGGGGCCAGCTTCTCTTTGCGAAGAGACAGTGAAAAAGGAGCTTAAGGCACAATGATGGACGGCCTTCAACACCTAGAGCAAGGAGTTAGAAAAACCGTGGGTATGAAAAGCAATTATGCTCATCCATGGCCCCCAAAATAGAATATTCTGTAGGGCGGGGGCCTGCTTTGGCGAGGCCATTGCTAGCTGGAAAAAATGAGTGAATTTTTAATTAAAAAAATTATTTTTTTGTTCATTGTTATCGGAAAATATCTTTTTCCATCGCTTTGATTTTACAGAGAATGGGAGGGAGGAGAAGAGATAGAGAGAGAGAGAGAAACATGATTGTGAGAGAGACATATTGACCGGGAATCGAACCCATGACCCTTTGGTGTACATTCAGACTCTCTAACCACTGAGCAACACCGTTCAGGGCATGAATCAATTTTTAAAGGGATCTTCTTGAACTTGGGAACTGAAAGCGTACACAGAGAGCAAGGGGAGGCCATTACTAGCCGACGTGTTCAGATCGCCCCCCTCGCCCATGCCTGTGGGGTGTCGGTGTTGGGCAGGGGTGAGACTGTGGGTCGGCAGGTTTATGCCACAGGATTCTGGTCCCATCACTTACGCCTCTAAGGAGAGACTCTGTGACCAAGTAACTCTGAGACATGTTTCCTGTTTGTTATAGGCGCTAGTTTTAGGATTTTCCATGTAGATTGTACCTCGGACATCAGCTAAGATGGCCTCACTTTTAAAAACTTGAGTTTGCAGATCTTAGCTATTGTAAATAGCGCCGCTACGATCTGGAAACAGCCCAAGGGCCCATCCGTAGACGAGCGGATAAAAAAGCTGTGGTATATCTATACCGTGGAATACTATGCAGCTGTGAAAAAGCAGGATCTCTTACCCTTGGGGGCGGCATGGAGACACCTGGAGGGTATTATGCTGAGTGAAATAAGCCAGGCAGAGAAAGAGAAATATCCCCATGATCTCACTCATAGGTGGAGTCTAATGAACCAAATAAACTTATGGGCAAAATAGACCCAGAGACATGGAAGCGTGGAGCAGACAGAGGGAGCTCAGAGGGAAGGCAGAGGGCGTGGGGATTAACCAAGGAATTTATATGCCTATATTCATAACCCATGGACACAGAAATAGTGAGGTGAAGGCCTGGAAGAGAAGGGGGACTGGAACCAGGTGGTGGGGGGCAAGGGAGAGAAAAAAGGGGGGGCATCTGTAATACTATCAACAATAAAAATAATTAAAAAATGGGAAGGGGCTGTTCAATGGGGGAAAAGGGGGCATCTGAAATACTTCCAATAATACAGATAAATTTAAAAAGGACACCCCCCCTCAAAAAAAAAAACAAACAAACCCCAAAACCAATGACTTTGTATCATCCATATGTGAGTTTATTCCCACAAAGCTCCCGGTAGCATCAGATGAATAAACATCTTCTAAATTAGCTTTGAGGGAGACTCAGGGCACCACCAAACCTGGGTGTGAGTCCAGCTCCCCCATCATTAATATGACCTCAGGCTTCCTAATGAATCCACATAGTAGCTTTCTCATTGGTCCTAAAGGGTCTTAAAAGAACGAAATACAACAATGCGTGTGAATAAATCAGCACAGAACCTGACCCACGTGGTATGTGCTCGTTCGAGGGAATGGCTCCCATTCCCCAATTCCTTTCGCTCACGATTAAGTTTCCGGGGATAGCGTATCATCCGCACTTTGGGGACCGTGGCGAGGAGCTGCGGCCACAGAGTTTGGGTTATTTTTTTGTGGGTGGCATGAGACAGTGAGAAGTGACTGCTCGATGGGAACTCGGGCTCCGTCCCCAGTACGGGAAATTCAGGGAGCAGCCAGCAGGGGGCGCACAAGAAGCAGCCAGCCGGTGACGCTCTGTCATCATTGATGTTTCTCTCTCTCTCCCTCTCCCTTCCTCTCTCTGAAATCAATACCTATTTTTAAAAAGATAAAAAAAATTAATACAAAAGAAAATACACGGCTGGTCGGTGGAAGCGTGAACACATATCAACCAAGATGCAGTCTCTGGTTTCCCAGGGAGGGCGGGACACCTGGGAATTTTTTATTTTTATTTTTGGAACCTTTTTTTTTTTTTTTTTTAAATTATCTTTATTATTGAAAGTATTACAGATGCCCCCTTTTTTCCACATTGACTCTCTTCCCCACATCCACCCCCCACCCCAGGCCTTCCCCACAGTATTGTCTGTGTCCATGGGTTATGCACAGATGCATATAAGTTCTTTGGTTCATCTCTTCCAGTCCCCGCTTCCCTCTGAGACCCCTCCGTCTGCTCCATGCTTCCACGTGTCTGCATCTATTTTGTTCAGTTTATTTTGTTCATTAGATTCCACAGACGAGTGAGATCCTGGGGATCCTTGTCTTTCTCTGCCTGGCTTATTTCACTCAGCGTAATACTCTCCAGGTCCCTCCCTGCTGTCCCAAAGGGTAAGAGATCCTTTTTCACAGCTGCATAGTATTCCCCGGTGTAGATGTACCACCACTATTTTGTCCATAAGTTTATTTTGTTCATTAGATTCCACATATGAGTGAGACCGTGTGACACTTGTCTTTCTCGGACGGGCTTATTTCCCTGAACATAATACTTTCCAGGCCATAGACTCTGTCCATCTAGAAAAGAGATGGGTTTCTATTGCCCACTTTTAGCCTGAAAGATGCAGGTTTTATGCAAACAGGTGTTGGTGCCATAGCTACAGACATCTTAGCATTTGCACGGAGACGATGTCGGGACCAAGAAGATCCATGGAACCGTGGCTGGTGTGGCTCATTAATAATAAAAATAATAAAAGATCCATCAAGGGCAAGAAAGTCCAAGTTTTTTGTAACTTCTCCTGACAGAAGCCCATGTTGTAGAAATGCTACCCCTGTTTCTATTTTCAGGAAAGTGGCACCAAGGCCTGAGCTGTGCCTCCAGGGATGACCACTGTTACCACCCCCTGAACCATGGCTTCGACTACTTCTACGGGATGCCCTTCGGCCTTCTGAGCGACTGCAGGGCCTCCGAGACGCCGGAGCTGCACCGGTGGGTCAGGATCAAGCTGGGCATCTCCACCGCGGCCATCGGGCTCCTCCCTCTCCTGCCGCTCATCCCCCGCTTCACCCGCTGGTTCCCGGTGCCATGGGGCATCATCGTCACCTTCGGGCTCCTCGCCTTTGTCTTTTTCGTGGGCTGGTTCTCCAGCTACGGGTTCGTGCGGCGTTGGAACTGCATCCTCATGAGGAACCACGAAATCGTCCAGCAGCCCATGAGGGAAGACAGAGTCTCCGCGCTCATGCTCAAGGAGGCCCTCTCCTTCATTGACAGGTATTCAGTCACCCACGAAAACCCAAGACACACAGGGGACTGTGATAAGAAAATAAAAGGTGCCCTGGCTGGCGTGGCTCAGTGGTTGAGCATCGACCTATGAACCAGGAGCTCTCCGGTTTGATTCTTGGGTTTCAGGCTCCATCCCCAGTAGGGGGCGTGAAGGAGGCAGCAGACGGCTGTTTCTCTCTCATTATTAATGTTCCTATCTCTCTCTCCCTCTCCCTTCCTCTCTCTGAAATCAATAAAATCCATACTGTCCAAAAGGATACAAGGTCCTTTTTCACAGCTGTATAGTATTCCACGGCATAGACGTACCACCGCTGTTTTATCCACTCAGCTACGGATGGGCACTTAGCTATTTTAAATTGTGCTGCTATGAATATAGGGGTGCACAAGTTCTTTCTGATGGGTGTTTCAGGATTCTTAGGATATATTCCCAGAAGAGGCATCGTTGGGTCATAAGGCAGCCCCATTTTTTATTCTTTTGAGATAACTCCATACTGTTTTCCACGGTGGCTGCACCCCTCTGCTTTCCGCAGTCGCCTCTCTCTGTAAAGGTAACTCAGTCTGACTTCCTACCCTCAGGTACAAACGCGGACCTTTTCTCTTGTTTGTGTCTTTTCTTCACGTCCACACGCCCCTCATCACCAAAGAGAATTTCGTGGGACGCAGCAAATACGGTCGCTATGGCGACAATGTGGAAGAAATGGATTGGATGGTGGGTAAGTATTCAGGAAAAGCAACCAAGCATCTAGATCGTGGGGTCAGAAAGCAAATCTGTACTCATCGCCTCAATGGACGGCGCCTTGCGTATCTTGGGAAATCAATAGGTACGCGTTTCCCTGAACTAAAAGCTGGCAAATCAGTGAAATCTGAAAATATTTCCCCCCCCATTGTGCCCAGCTCCCACCCCACCCCAAGCCTCCACGGCAAAATATATAAAGAACTCATACAACTCAACACGTGGAAGACAAAGGCTCCAATTAAAAAATGGGCCAAGGGCCTCAGTGGACACGCTCTGTCTTCTCAAGGGACTGTCGACCCGTAAAAACAACGCTTGCTGGGTCCAGCAGAGTATTCACAAGCATCTATGATAGCGATTTATTACGTAATATTCTGCAATCTATACTCAAGTATAATTTAATTATGCTGCAGTGTGTAGTAATCACGAACACATGATAAACAGCCATGGTCCACGCTGAAAGGTGACAGCTCCCTGTCTCCACCTGTGCCAGGTAAGATCCTGGAGGCCCTGGACCAGGAGTGCCTGACCAACCAGACACTGGTGTACTTCACCTCGGACAATGGGGGCAACCTGGAGGCACAGGCCAGGGGCGAGCACCTGGGCGGATGGAACGGGGTCTACAAAGGTGAGGCACAGGGGCTGTCCCACTTCAGTTGATACCCCTGCAGGGTCTCCTGAGCTTTGCTCGCACCCGTGTCAACCCCCAAATGCTGTGTGGAGATGTTTAGGAGTTATACTCTCTTGTCAAGCTAGATGGGGAAAGGTGGTGAGTTTGGGGGCAGTGTGCAGAGTGGAAGACAAAAATGTGGGAAGTAATGAAAGCCTTAAGAGCGTAGCCCTGGCTGGTGTGGCTCAGTGGTTAGAGCACCAGTGGGTTAAAGGGTCTAGGGTTTGATTCTCGGTCAAGGGCGCTACCTGGGTTGCCCCAGCTGGGTGAGTGGGGGAGGCAGGCCATCCACGTGTCTCTCTCACATCGATGTTTCTCCCTCCCTCCCTTCCTTCCACTGTCTCTAAAAATCAATGGAAAAATGATCCTTAGTTGAGGGTTAACAACAACAGACAAAAAAAGCAAGCAGAGTTTATGTGTAGGTTTAATTTCCAGTTGAGTGGAGCATGACACAGTTGAGTTGAAGTCATCTTTGCCTTTGCTCTTTGCTTTTAGGTGGGAAAGGGATGGGCGGATGGGAAGGGGGCATCCGCGTTCCAGGAATATTCCGGTGGCCAACGGTGCTGGAGGCTGGGAAGGTCATTGACGAGCCCACCAGTCTGATGGACATTTACCCAACGCTGTCTTACGTCGGGGGAGGAATATTGCCCCAGAACAGGTAGGAAACCACTGCTTGCTCCTAGTCTGGGGGCATAGATTTGAGTTGCGTGTGGATACATTAGATAATTTTACATGTTTGTGAAACAGATTGCTTAATTTTCTTTCTTTTTAAAAAATACATATTTTTATTGATTTTTAGAGAGAGAAGGGAGAGAGAGAGAGAGATAGAAACATGAATGATGAGAGTGATTGATCGGCTGCCCCCTGCACACCTCCTACTGGGATCGAGCCCCAAACCTGGGCACGTACCCTCACCAGGAATGGTTCCTGGGTCAATGCTCAACCACTGAGCCACACCAGCAGGGCTCATTCTTGACCCGTTTTGTTTGTTTTTTAATCTCTTAAACAAATATTTATTAAGTGAATTATTGAATAAAAGGAAGCATGTGTCTATGTGTGTGCGGTGAATTATACCATATTTCTCTATGGTTTTAAAATGAGTAAATACGTGACATGCTTTAATGGTTTAATTCTGTGGAGTGTGTGTGTGTGTGTGTGTGTGGTGGTGGGAGGATGTGTATTCATTTGCAGTGGGGTTCCCCTCCAATTAAATAAGAGTAAAAAGTGCAGTGTTGTAATCCATGACGCTCACACCCAATGTCNCAGTGTTGTAATCCATGACGCTCACTCCCAAAGTCTTGCAAGGTTATCACCTTAATACTTCCATCTGCTGCCCTCTCCCATTATCTTAGAAAATGTATCATATGTCTTAATTTTTTTCCCTTTTTTCTTATAAAATAACTGAAGATGAGCGATAAATTTTATTATTTTTTAAAATTTATTTTTTAAAATATATCTTTATTGATTCCAGAGAGAGGAAAGGAGAGGGAGAGAGAGAGACAGAAACATCAATGATGAGAGAGTCATTGATCGAACCCACAACGTGGGCATGTGCCCTGACCGGGAATCGAGCCCCGATCGCCTGGATCCCAGGTTGATGCTCAACCGCTGAGCTACATCCGGNCATTTTACATAATCTATCAATTTTTTTTATTGATTTCAGAGAGAGGAAAAGAGAGGAGAGAGATAGAAACACCAATAATGAGAGAGTCATTGATCGGCTGCCTCCTGCACACCCCTGACTGGGGATCAAGCCCGCAACCCGGGCATGTGCCCTGACCGGGCATCGAACCCCGATCGCCTGGATCCCATGTTGATGCTCAACGGCTGAGCCACATCCGGCCGGGCAATAAATTTTAAAAAGTCTGTCTCCTCTCCCTCCACCTCCATCCCTTCCTCGTCCATCTCTTCTCGCTCCTTCTGTAATAAGACAGGCGACTAAACCATGGCTCCCTCACCACTTTGTGCATTTTCCTCTCTCTCCTAAGAGTGATCGACGGCAAGAACCTCATGCCTCTGCTGGAAGGCAGGGTCCGCCACTCGGACCACGAGTTCCTCTTCCACTACTGTGGGGTCTACCTGCACGCCGTCAGGTGGCATCAGAAAGACTGTGAGTATGAAGACGGTAGACATGTGGGCATGTGATAAGGACACAGCCCTGTCTCCTTTTTCTCTGAGGGAGGGCAGGAGCTATGACACGTGCAAATAACCTCCAGCCAGGATGAATCTTCTCCTTAGGAAAATTATGTAAGCAGCCATTGTACTACAGTAAGTTTATCGAGGTGTGTGTCTGTATGTCTGACTATGCTTGTATAAGCAAATAAGCAATTAGCTTATTATGCATGTATGCTAATACGCAGGTAGAGAGAGAGAGAGAGAGGGAATACAAATGTTCCCAACTAAGAATATTAAAAAAAATTAGCAACAGGGAGTGAACTTTATTCTAACCCACACATCAGTCACTAACTGCCTCTCCTAATTCACTGTTTCTGTCTCACCTTCACACTATAGGATGCACGTAAATAAATATATATCAACAAATGATATCGATTGCCTTACATCTGTCAACAAAAGCTTTCAGAGACGTTTGGATAAAGTTCTAGAATTTCTACTTGGTTGAGCTTATNCTTTCAGAGATGTTTGGATAAAGTTCTAGAATTTCTACTTGGTTGAGCTTGACTGAAACTGCAGAATACATACGGGCTTTCTCCCGTGCAATTCCTCAGTACTGGTGTGATGCATTCTTCGTCAATGTCTTCCATGTAAAGTGAAAGCAAACAAACAAAAAGCTTTTCCTGCCCTGGCTCAGTGGCTCAGTTCAATTCGTTGGGTGTCCTCCATGCACCAAAAGGTTGCTGCTGGTTCAGTTCCTGGTCAGGGCACATGCCCAGGTTTTGGGCTTGATCCCCAGTAGGGGGCGTGCAGGAGACAGCCAATCGATGACTCTCTCATCATTGGTGTTTCTCTCTTGCTCTCTCTCTCTCTCCATTCCTCTCTCTCTAAAAAAAAAAAATTTAATAAAAAATTTTTTTAAAGAAGAAAAATCTTCAAGTTGGCAGTAAAATCGTGAATTTTTTGATAGCTGAGGAAACACTATTTTTGTTGTGTAACTTTTTGCAGGAGACTTTCAATTATTAACCAAAAACCATTTGAGAAATACGTGTTTAATGAAAAAAGATCCTAAAACAATAACAAATATGGCATCTCAACGAGAGGGTTCTGTTTCCCAGGTGCAACGGTGTGGAAGGTTCATTACGTGAGTCCCAAATTTTCCCCGAAGGGAGCTGGAGCCTGCTACGGGAGTGAAATATGCTCCTGTACTGGAGACGTCACCTACCACGACCCTCCACTCCTCTTTGACATCTCAAGAGATCCTTCTGAATCCCGACCGCTCAGCCCCAACAACGAAGCGTTATTCGACTCTGTGGTCATGAAAATCGAGGCGGCCGTCAAAGAGCATCGAAGGACACTCACGCCCGCTCCACAGCAGCTCTCTGTGTTCAACACTATTTGGAAACCGTGGCTGCAGCCCTGCTGTGGGAATTTCCCCTTGTGTGGGTGTGACAAGGAAGATGACATTATAGCCAACGCTTGAGGAGCAGACAGGGGCTACTTGTTACCAACCACCCACGTGCTGTTACAAAGGCTGTTGGGAACAGTTCTCGCTGACTCATTCAACCCCTTTGGGATCAACAATGACGCCCTCCACTCATTTTTTAAAAAATATGTTTTTATTGATTTTGTCTTAGAGAAAGAGGAAAAGAGAGAGAGAGAAACATCGATGAGAAAGAAATATCGATCGGCTGCCTCCTGCACGCCCCCTACTGGGGATCGTGCCCTGATCGGGAACTGAACTGGTGACCTCCTGGTGCTCAGGACAACGCTGACCCAACTGAGCCACACCGGCTGGGCCACCCATGTTTTAAACCCTTAGATTTTAGTTTTTTCTTCAAGTTATGTCCTGGAACTCAGTGAGGACCAAGTGGTTCTGTATAGCAGCGAACTGAAGTGGAGCATGGTCTGTATCACGTTTTCATAATACTGTGTCATTTTTTCCAGGGCAAAGAAAGACTAAGGTGACCTTCTCCAGATCCTTGTGGATCTGTGGTTCCTAGAACGTTAGAAGTAGCAGGTCCGATGTCATTGTGTGTTTCCTTCATTGAATTTATTAGGGTGACAGTGGTTAATAAAATTATATAGGCTTCAGGGGTACAATTCTACAGTATTCTGTATATTGTGTGTTCACCACCCCAAGTCAAGTCTCCTTCCATCACCATTTATTCCCCACTTACCCTCTTTTACCTTCCCTACCCCCCTTCCTTACCCCCCATAGAAGGTAATCACCATGCTGTTCTCTTTGTCCATGAATCTTTTTTTTCTTTGCTTAATCCCTTCACCTTTTTTACTCCAAACCCCTCCCCTATGATAGCTGTCAGTCTGTTCTCTGTGTCTGTGATTCTGTTTCTATTTTTTTGTTTTTGTTTTTGTTTATTTTGTTCATTAGATTCCACATATACGTNTTTTGGTGTTTGTTTATTTTGTTCATTAGATTCCACATATACGTGAAATCATATGGTCCTTGACTTTCTCTGAGTGGCTGGTGTCACTCTTTTTACACGATTCCATTAGAAACTTCTAAACCCAGACACATTACTATTATTTTTTTTTTTTTGGTAACCAACCTTAAGTATTTCATATCAGCGTGAAGTAGATAGTGTGCATAAAAACCGAAGTGTTGCCACCCAGCCGGTGTGGCTCAGTGGTTGAGTGNAAAACCGAAGTGTTGCCACCCAGCCGGTGTGGCTCAGTGGCTGAGTGTTGACCTACGAACCAGGAGGTCACAGTTCGATTCCTGGTCAGGGCGCATGCCTGGGCTGTGAGCTCGACCCCCAGTAGGGGGCGAGCAAGAGGCAACGAGTCAATGACTTTCTCTCATCACTGATGTTTTTCTCTCTCTCTCCCTCTCCCCTCCTCTCTGTGAAATCAATAAAAACATTGAAAAAATTTAAAAAAACAACAAAATACTGATGTGTTGTCAGAATCATCATAGTCATTGTTACTCATTGATTTTCCTGTTTTCCCTTCTCTTTCTGTCTAACAAATATTTGGTTCTGGGACAAAACACTTGGCGACAGGCCTTGGCTATGCTTCCTGCTAACCATGGGATGGGGGAGAAATCTCAGGGTTTTTTTTTTTTTTTTAGTGTAAAATGGGGAAAACCAGTATCTATTTCACAGAGTAGCTATGCAGGTTCTAATTCTTGTGAATTTGCCTTGTATACAGTGAGCATTCAATAAATATCCTTGTGATGAATGTTGTCATTGGTGTCAATGGTAATTCATTCTATTCTCTGAAGTACAGAGTCAAATAGAAAAATTACGGCTGGAAAATTTTAATCGATGACAGGCATTCAGAAAGCACATTGAGAAAGCAGGATAAACAAAGATAAATTTATAAATGAGGGCGTCATGGGAAAACTCCACATTTCAAAAGACTAAGAAAAGATCTTTAAGTGAGTTAGAAGGAAACAAGGTTGCCTACAAAATATAAAATAATTAAACTAACAGAGACTCACTAACATCTCCAAGAGAAGCCACAAGACCATAGAATAACCTAATTAAACTTTTCAGGAAAAAAAATCTATCAACCCAGAATTATATACCCAAGTCATTCAATGATGGCAGTGAACTTTTTAAAATCCGGGAAACTATTATTGCAAAATGTCTTTTTTTTTTTTTTTTTTT